TGGGTTAGCATACACTACTTGTAACTTACCGTCTTGAGACACTCTGATTCCTAACTGCAGAGCCAGATTATCCTGACTGACGACTGACAAAATAAAGTGACAAAGACTAAGAGCCTCTCAAGTCTTGGCTACTTTCGTTTTTAGGCCAGATGTTGTTCAATGTTGATTCAATGTCACACCGGAAGAGACTAGAGAGTCGATTCCAAATGACAAAACAATAAACATAGTATCGATATTACCTAGTTTCCTGTGTGAGTAAACTCCAAGGAAACTTTCTGTGGGAACCTTTCATTTTGACAAGGTTTGGATATTTTCTAGCTCACAAATTTCCTGTGAAGATAGCAGAGAAAATCATTATCTTACTTCAGTTCTTCTATTGAGTTATGAATGCACTAAGAATCTAGATCTATCTCTTGATTGTCCTTCAGAAATTAGCTATTCAGATGTAGTGATGTATTATCGATAGGGTGAAAAGAAATGAGAGCAGCAGGCAAGAGATGATTTAAGATAAAGATGTGATCACTTTGCTGCTCTTATTATGTCTTATATGTTTACTGTACGTCAGGTCTGGGTGTCTGAATTTTTGTAAAGTTAGATCTAGATTGTAATCTAGATCTAAGTGGGATCGGATATCCGGCTTAACTGTAGACAGTGAAAGATCTTGTCAGTTTGTTAGTGAAGTGTTTGTTGTAGATCTAGAATCTAGAGATCAAGTCTAGAATCTAGATCTAGATATCTAGATATCTAGATTTCTAGCTAGTTTGTTGAGACTGAGAATAGCGCAGGCGAGTCTTTTGGCTATTCTCACATGGTGTGCGTTCACCGTTATAGCCTAGATCTAGATCTAGATCTAGGCCAACCAGTTTTTTTGCGTTCACCCTGAACCACAGAATTCTACACTGTAATAACAGAATTGTAGAGAAGGAGTAGGAAGTGGCGGGTGAGAATAAAAATACGAACGATCTAATCTAGATCTAGATTCTACCTCTCACCCCGGGTGAGACTTGCCAGCGTGCTATTCTCACCCGGTGTGAAACAAGACCTGTTTTTCCTCATTTTGGAATACTGTCTATTGAAATT